TTTTGTTTTGATTTAGCAGCTTCGCTGTTACCACATTTAATTATTCGTATTATTCTTAAAAATATTGCTGAACAAACTTGGTACATACACATGAAGATACATCTTTAGTAGAAGCATAAGTCAAAATATAAAATCGGAATAAGATAATATAAACTAGTGTAAATTTATATGTAGCTCTGACATAATATAAACCAAACCCGGAATCTATTTTTTCCTTTGTAAAAGGGCATCGACTTTTTGTTTATAATTATGTACATAAATAAGCGCCTATTTAAAAACCATAGTAGTCGTCTTCGATTAGTCACTCTCTTTCCAAAATGTTTCAAGAGGAAGAAACATAAAAGTTATATAGTTCAATTCAATATAAGATAAAACACAAATTTATTAAACTAAACAGTGGAAACTTTTATAACCTTCTCTTCCACCTTTGTGTGAATTACGCCAGTTGTTCGTTCGGTGAATTGAGTGTAATACATTTTGTCTATATTTTGTTAATCAATACGATCAAAGGGGATTTTGTATTACTTTTTGAATAAAGTTTAGACACTAATGTTTCTAAACATTTATAGATATGAATGAGTAATATTAATAACGAGGAAACTTCCCAAATGAAAGAAACAAAAGGGAAATACAATTGTATGTAAGTATATTTATTTAATGTATCATTCATTCAGTCTTGATACTTATGCAAATTGCTTTTTTATTGTTATCATCATTTTATTTGCATAATAAACTTGTTCAAAGCAATACCAACAGTGTTAGCCATTTAAATCCCACGTTCAATCAATTTACAGTCCCATGACTGATAACGCATTAGTGCAAAGAAACATTGACTTTAGGGATTCCTTACTGGTATTTTGATTTTTAATGCATTAAATATGTATTGAATTTACTTGCTTCGCAAATGAACCCATCACTTGTACTTATCAACAAGTTTTACCCGTAAATTGCTTTATATCCATAAACTTTCAAATTCGTTTTATTCAGATTTCACAAAATTATATTTTTGACCTATCAAAATTTCTTAACTCGTTATGCACCCCTTCTTGATTTTACATTTTTTCAACAATATTTATTGCCACGAATTCAATATGTTAATAATTTTGTGGAAGTGCAGTACTACTTGTATAAGTGTAAGTGCAGCAAGGCGTGGTCGGTGTCTTCTAGTTTTATAATTCTGAGGTTTCCAGATAACATATTATATACATATTTGATCAAATCAGAGAATCGTTTCTTGGGTTACATCATTATTTATTAGTGTTATTTACTGAAAGGGAATCAAAAAATAATAATAATAGTAAAGATAAAAGAAGTGTTAGGTTTTGATAAATGGCAAACAGCAAAGAACAAAAAAATATATATTTTATTTCCCTCTGTGGTAACAGATTAAAAATTAAAATAAACAATTGTTTAGATTGGTAAATAAACAAAATTCAATAATTGAGGAGTAGCACGCGTTCGTGGTCAACGTACATATTGTACAATATGTATGTGTGTGTTTGTGTACCTGATTCCCATTTTATTTTATTAGCAAACCCACAACTGCGCTGGTTATTTTCCACGTCGAGCAGCTAAATTTAAAATTATTAGAGGACTGAAACATTAAATATTTATATAGATACACACACAAATACATACATACACCTTTAAAATAATTAATCTTCCTTGAGTAAACACCTGTGGTGGATTGGAATAGCTCGCACCATTTTGATGGCGCTATTAGTACACTCGGGAGAAAAAGCAATAATACATATGTACCTATTAATTTAAACCATTAATTATTGTTAATGCTATTCTACATATACTATATACTAACACCTAACTAAAAATGAATGAGTACGGAAGAACCGAGTTCGGGTGTCACCGAACATTTTATACTCTAGCAATTTTCCAGATTACAGGCGGGAAAATAAAGTACTTTCAGGTGTTGCAAAACTTTATTGAAAACAAGTAAGGCAATTATTTCAAGTGTTGGCAAAATTTTATATTAAATGAAGTATTGATCCGATTCGACCCATTTTTGACACAAATAAATACTACTTGTATTATCGAGAGTTTCATTTATTTCTGTTATTATATGAGTTTCAATTATATATCTTACACATTGAACGATATTTTCGGTAAAAAGTCAACTATAGGCAGGAACAGAGTTGGTTCTATCTTATAATTCGTCTAATTTTGAACGCGATTACTTTAGTCATCTCATACCATCCCAGAGATAAAATTTAATGCCTCTGGCGTGTTTAGTGCTTGATCTATCGCGCTTTTAGTAGTTTTTAACAGTACCGTTATATGGGGAGTGGGCAGAGTTGCCACCCGATTTGACCTATTTTCACACTGTCGATAGAAGTGGAAAAACATTAGTTTCCAGTGAATTTTGTTATTATAGCTGGAGCGGTTTAGGAGATATGCACAATAAACCTATTAGGAGGCGGGACCACGCCTACTTTAAAAAAAATTTAAACTGCAGATGGCTCTTCTTAATGTGATCCTGTATACCAAATAACAGTCTTGTATCTTATTGTGGAGCATAGTTATGGCAATTTATTCGTTTTTGATTAATGGCGTTTTGGGGGCGTGACAGTGGTCCGATTACGCCCATCTGCAAAACCAACTGTCTTACGGTAACAAGAAATATTTGTACCAAGTTTCATAAAGATAGCTTCAATTTTTACTCAAGTTACAGCTTGCACGGACGGACGGACAGACAGTCACCCGGATTTCAACTCGTCTCTTCATACTGATCATTTATACATGTACATGTTGTACATAAACCTATATCTTACTCGATTAGTTTTAGGTGATACAAACAACTGTTAGGTGAACAAAACTATTATACTCTGTAGCAACATCTTACGAGAGTATAAAAATGTAGCGTAAGATTCGAAATTCGGTATTCGACGAAATTATCAATGGATAACAATCAAGTTTGTTACATTATTAACTTATGCATATTATAGGTCGTTCTACGTTTACTTCGTGCCCGAAATATTTACATTAAAATCCACCTAATTAACTCCAATGAGATATACTTGTACATATGTGATATTATTCAAGGCTAAGCTCCATTACTTTTAGAAAAATTGTCCACCTAATTTTATTAAAATACCACAAATTTTGACCAGCATAAACGGTTTAAAGTCTGATGGAAACTCTAAATGGGGAAGGGGGAAGATCTGAACCCCTTTGCATTAGCTTTAGCCATTACTCAAGTACAGACATACACATATACCTATACCTGAGAACATATTTCTAAGCAATATTATGTAGTACGTATATTTGGGAGTTGGGGTAATTCGAGATCAATTTTACACTTTTTTCAAATAAAGCTGCAGTGTATCCAATATTATACGGACAGTTATTTTTGCAAGACATCTTTCATAATTTCAGGTATATTCGTAAACGGGACCGATTTTATCCATTTTGCACAGGGCACACTATTATCAGGAAAAGATTCTCTCTGAACTTCAGTAATATATTACAGTTTTACCAACATTTTCATTAAAAAATAGTTATGGTCTAATTTCGACTATTTTAGAAAATTCAATCACAAATTTGATCAGTAGCATTTGATATTAGTACCAAATTCTTCGGTTTCAACGCTTTTACAACGGTTTTAAGTTAGATACAATCATTAAACTACAAGAATGTCAAGGTATACAAAGTGAATATATTTTTCTTTGGCCGCATTATAAAGACTACACTTGATCATCAAAGGTTGTTAATCGAATCGATACCACGATGTCTATCAATCCGTCCTTCGGCTATTTTCATCGTATTTAATTTCATATTACTTATTACGAAGAATTCCTTAAGCACAGTTTTATGCACCTACCTACAAATTGTTTGTAGTTTATACAGCCAATATCATCTAAGCTTATATACCGAAAGTGAAATGCTAATCTCTCAGTCGAGGCAATTCTCACTGACTTAGCTGATTCGTCACAAAGATGTTATACTCTATTAGCATTTCGTATAAACGTATACCTGTATAATATATGTATATCTACATATGTATTTACATATTCAGTTGGAGCAGTGCAAGTGTGCTTGTATGGAAAACATTTGAAAACCAAAACAAAGTGGCATAAAATTGAAAACAAAAAATTTACAGTGAGAAATTGTGTTAAGATTTCCTCAAATGTTAGCATTATACGCAGCAAGCATTTACATACCTACATACATATGTATATACATTCCGAAATTCTTTAAATCCAAAAAATGAGATATATTGTAACTGAGCGCATATATTCTTCTGTCTGTGTATTCTATAAATATCATATAGAAATATGGAAAGCACTTTATAACAACTAGTTTTATAATATTTGGACACATTATTTCCAGAGCGGTCCAGTTCAAACAATTGTTTTTCGCACAAACTATTGTTCAAATATCAAGTCCAATGTCAAAGCTCTTTCAAGAGCACGAAATTTCGCAGTTTTGTATATTATTTGCCGTGTTTTAACATTCAGATTTGTTCGCCAAAGCCGTTTCTGTCTTAAAACCGGGGATATTTAAAGTTATAATGTATTATTTACCGAGTCATCGCAATACATAGGGAAAAATGCTAATGCAGCGATTTTTGAATTTTAATTTTTATAAAAAATAAAGAAAATACATATATATACTCAATGCAACTTGATCAAATTAAATAGATAATTTCGGTTTCCCGATCAAAACAACTGATAGAAAGTAAACAAATTCTGAGAGAATCCAGCATTAGTTATTCTCGCATGTAATACATATAGCTTTTAAGGAAGTTGCATACCTCGAGATGTCAGTTAAATGTAAGACGTTGATTTGGCCACAACAAATCATGACATTTAAAGTTTTGGGCCTATTTTTCGCCTTTTACTGCAATAATCCCAGGTACGCTGTACTCCGTTTATGTGCGAAATTTTTACATTGTTCAAGTTTCAATAATCCAAAGTGAACAGTGACCCGACCTTAGTTTAACGTTAGAAATGTCTACTTTATATGACAGTTACTCGCATTAATTTACCATAACATGTATGGAAGTTTAGAATCATTGAAGATTGCCGCAGTTTCTTTATACATATATATCGTACCCTAAAAATTGCATCTTACTTAATTACAAGCATACTCTTTTCATGTTCGACTTCGATATTAAGATTTCTCGGTCACACTTGCAACTTTACTGCTAACGGCACCGCTAAGTAGCGTGCACAGCTTATTCGTGCTCACTTGCCGTTGTTGAGTAGAGTTCGTAGATAAGAGAGGTTCTGATGTGCTTTGTAAAATGACTATGTTAACAACCAGCAGGGACCGGTAACAGAGCTGGATCTGCGCGAATTTTCGCTAAACGAATATAAAACGAGCGGTCGCAAATATTTACCCAGTATTCGATCGTTTTCAGTGAACCGAGTGCGCAAAGCGATTGCCAATCGAGCGAAATCAATTTACTATAAAAATTTCTGTTGAATAAATATACTTTAGGCAAACACGCATAAGCATAATTAAGTTAATTTGCTAAATTAAAAGGACATTCAAAAGCTTTTACGCTGCTATCCACTTTATTAAAAGGTTTTAAAGATCAAAGTGTATTCAAATGCCGGTATAGTCGTGGGTGCGTTCGCGCATAAATTTGTGTGCCAGACAAAAGTATCGACTTGTGCGAATGCTAATCGTTTGAATTTAAAATAAACAAACAAAAATCTTAAGAAATTAAATTTTCGAAATTTTTTCGTTTCCATTAACGTTGATGTGTGTGCTACAGTGATTTAGTGTTTTGGCTCTTTGACGCATCAGCACATATTGGAATCACCAAAAGTCAGCGATAACGCGAGAAAAACAAATAAGAAAAACGTAAGCAAAACAAATCGTGCTGACATCGAATTTGAATAAAGCACAGCCGCAGAATAAAAAAATCAACACAATAAAATGGAAATACAAAATTTGCACGAGCCAACAATGTTGGGAAAGAAACGGGATTTTGCGAAAAAAGACGCGATTATCCTTGACGCGCGGTACACGGTAAGTGCTGTAAACGACTGCATATCTGAAAAATGAAACAAAATTAACCGAATGCACTTAAATATTCAAGTGCATAGAAATCTTCTATATATGTACATATGTACAAGCAAATGTGTTGGTAAATATACAGAAAAAAATATGTAACATTTGAGGTTTCTTCACACTCCCCTTGGTTCGGTGTGCAGAGCGCTTTGACTGCGGCGAAATGTGTTTATTATTTCATTTCGTCGACAAAATGTAAACAATTCAAATTAATTAGAGTATGCGGCACGCGGCACCTGTCGGCGATCAATTCAAGATCAAAAAATTAGTTTATATTGAAGACGATGTGAACATTATTTTTTGTATATGTGATTGAAAATCGAAAGTTTTCGAAACCAATTTTTTCATGTGGCATTAGAAATTTAATTTTTATATATTAAATCTTATATACTATATACTTTTTATTTTGTGTCAAAAAACACATGAAGAAAATAGCTGCTTGTGATGTATTAAAAACATAGCGGAAATTTAAAAATTAAAATTTCGCTTCTTTGGAGTGTCCACTTATCAATTTTTTTATTATCTTGATATATATGCCCTTGAACTACGATACAATTTTAAGCAGTATTAATTTCTTACTTTGTCTGTAACAGCCTCTAAGATTAGACTTTTTTTATGAGTTTGGGGATTTTCGTTTGTTAAAAAAAAAATGGATCAAAGAATTTGTTAGTGAATTCTTAGCCAAAACAATTCTGTAACGGTGCTCCGGCCTCCATATTCGCTAGACAAGCCTCCGTGGGACTTTTTCCTGTTTCCAAAAATATAGAGAACTTTAGAAGGCCGTCAATTTACAACAATTGGGAAGTGGAAGAAGCGCTGGCATAGGTGTATCATATCAAATGGAATATTTTCTAGGCGACAAAATGAATGTAGACAAATTAATAAGTTTTTTTAAAAAACGAAAATTATTTTTTGAACACGCGTCGTATGTATGTACATTTCATTATTGCACAGCAAAAACAATAAGTTTTCTACGATTGAAACAAAATTGCGGCAGGTTCTTATTTAACTGAGTATCCCAACCACACAGTTAATATTCGGAACTGACATTGCTGTATTCGTAAGGGAGACGCTTCCAAAACACAAAAGATAATTGAAGTTGAAATTAGATTAGGAGGCCTTAAGTTTACATATAAACCCATACAAAATTAAATTCTGTGCGTCTAATCCCGGCACTTTTTGTTGAAATCTGAACTATTATATTTACATATATAATGTATCCATGACGTTGGTGAGAACAAAACTGTAAGAAATAACGCTAAATGTTTAACCCTTTTCGTTAAAAATGGGCGAAAATAAAATTTAGTTCGAATATGTTCATACGAAATTTACCATAGTTGTGAATAAATTAAAACATGAATATAATACTTAAAGATAGACATGCCTGCAGATGTGTGCATCATATTGATACTTTTGTAGCAGGAACACTGTATCTTTATTTCACGATATAAATAAACTAAAACAATAAAAAACATTTACTTCGGTTGCACGGAAGCTTAATTTTGATCGTTTAGTTTGTATCGCAGCTATATGCTATAGTTGTCCGATATCGATGGTACCGACAAATGAGTAGCTTCTTAGGTAGAAACGAACAGGTTTCAAATTTTAGAGCGATATCTCAGAAACTGGAGTTACAAACTTTGTGGCAAACTTAATGCGCCTTGTGCAGGGTATTAAACTTGATAAACTGGAATTGATTTTTGAACGGAATGAGGCGTGTTTAAATCTGATGTTGCATTTTTATACTCTTGCAACATGTTGCAACAGAGTATAATAGTTTTGTTCACCTAACGGTTGTTTGTATCACCTCAAACAATTCGAGTTAGATATAAATTTATGTCAGGATGAACAGACGATCACTGGCTCCCGCACAAGACGCCATTAATCGAAAACCAATTAACAATTAAAAATACAAAATTTCTATTTGGTACAACGAAATGCATTAGGAAAGGGCATCTTCAGTTTAAAAATTTTGTTTAAAGTGGGCTTGATCCCGCCCTGCAATAGGTTTAATGTGCCAATCTCCTGAACAACCAAATTCACTCAAGACAAATCCCTTTAGCACCTCTATTGGCAGTGTGACTCCCAATATAACGGTTTTGATTAAAACTACTAAAAGTGCGATAACTCATTAAATAAACAAGTCAGAGACTTTTAATTTCACACATGGGCCGGTACGTATAAGCTTTATAGGAGCCAATACAAAAATTGGACAACGAGCGTTGCACCGCCCACATTTATCGGAAAACCCATATCTGGAGGTATACTTGACCGCTTTCTACCAAATTCTGTATATAACATACAACATTGCTAACATTCCTATGTGACAGTGCGAAGGCAAAATCGTACTGGCACCTAAGGACCGAAAATTGTGCAAATCGAACCAAAACTGTTCAAGTCTCTAGGTACCAAATATGTGGACTTTAGTACCCATAGTTAATTTTTTAATGAAAATATCAGTCAATCTGTGAGATATATAACTGAACTTCGACGGGAATCCTTTCCTGATATCAGTATGTCTGTGTGTTAAAAATGGGTTGTATCGAATCAACACTTCTCTTAGCCCCCATATACCTAATATACAGATTTTCGAACTTCCGGATGACTTTTTACCGCATATATCGGTCAATATGTGAGTTCTCTCTCAATAAAAATGAGAGAGCGTGTTTTACTCAACAGTGTATCTTTGTGCCACAAATGTATAAAATTTGGTGAAAACTTGACCTAGCCCCATATAACTTATATCAAGATTTTCAAACATCCAGCTGACCTTTCTCCATATGATGGCATGTGAGGTACCAAATCCCTGGGAGCATTTTCACAGTCTGTGCCATGTTAGTAATATATGGTATTGGCAAAAATAGATAAAATATGGTCAATACTACCCTCAACTCCCATTTATTACATATAATAGGGGTATTCAGACAAACATGTTTATCTGGTAATTCGTTAGTTGACACTTAGCTGTGAACATACTTTTTCCGTAACCTCAGTATTGTAGTATATTTTGTTCCAAAACGGCTGATTCAATTATATGTAATACTTACTTTTGAAAAATTTGTCTAAAATTATTTTGTAGCGAGCAGAATATGTATTTCTTCACAATGAATCAAAATAAAAAGTAAAATTGATGTTAAAAAGTAATGAAAATATTATCAAGCTCGTCAGGCTAGTATTTCGTTACGCGGTAGAACGACAGTCCGTTAATTTTACAAAAATAAAATTCACAAATTACCGGATAACGACTAACGAATTAACAAAGCTGGTCTGAATACCCCTACTGATTTTCGTTTCTCTAACAAGTTTTATGCCAAATATGTCGTTCAATGTCCCTAATATACCATACCCCATATAATGAGTTGCGTCTTTCCACCTGAGGTTGGTCAAAAGGTGATATTTTCATGAAATTAAATGGACAAGTTTTCTTAAATATTACGTGGTTTGGCGCTGAATTAGAATATTATATACCTTGGCCTAAACCTCATATCAATAATACAATGAATTCCGATCCTCTGGTTGACGTTTTCCACATCAACTCAATATATATTAAATTTTGCCTTTTCGGTCGAGTTAATTTCACACTATATACAATAAAACTGAGTCTAAGTTTATGGCCTTCAATGTAAGTCAAGAAGATACCAAATTGGATTGTAATTTATTCACGTTTCACCTGAAGAAATTTCCCGGGCTTTAATTCTTACAAGTTGCAAGAGTATTAAATGTTCGGTTACAAACGAACTTAGCCCCTCCTTACTTGTTTCTAATTGCATTCAAAGTTTCGATCACTGTACTTTACTTCATTAGTAATCTGTGTGATACCAGGTATATTGTTATATAATATGTGATCGTTTTGCATATCAAAGGATAATATATATACCTGACATATAGAGACGAGCGTGTTTTTATAAAATTTCTTTACTTTATTTCAATGGTAGCTTCTACTTTGTTATAGCTTTTGGTTAAGTTAGATAACGTAATTTACGAGCTATACATACATATTTAAAATGAAATTACGATAGTTTTATTTACTTCCTTTTCAATATAACAAGTATTGAATACTCATCTAACTCTATTTATTGAAATTTATAAGTTTTTGTGTGTTGTGAATAAGAAAACTTGTTAGCTCTTTATTATCTCAAGTATATGGATGAAAGGACGGACTGACAGTCAGCCGTAACTACATTGCAGTTTAAATTGCTGACTAACCCAAATATTTTGTAACGTCATCAACAACCGTTAAGAGGACAAAACAAGTGACAGATTTATTCCCAACCATAATTAAGTCTTATAAATGACGTTATAAAAAGGTGATGATTCACTGATTTCGTCGGTTTGTGAAGTCTCATTTAAGTACAAATAGATGCCGACTTGTTTACCGTGACAAATTAATTAATTTACCCACCAACAAGTGTGTTGGGAAAGTATCTATAAATTATGTTAGCTTTTGTCATTAAATTAACCAAGTAAAAACGTAGTTTCATAATTTGTTACTTCGCATGAAAATGAAAATTGCTTGTCCTAAAGTAGAAATTTTGTTTATTGTATTGAAATATATATTTTGTATACGACGATATCTAACGTATTCCGTATTTAATGAAAAGCAATTTCTATTCTGTATATTTAAGATACATATACCATACACCTATGATTTATTTAGCACGTGTGGGCATAAATTTAATATTTATAATGACATTTATGTGTATAGTAACGAAAAAAATAATAAGCTCACGAGATTTAGGTATGTATGTATGTATGTATATAAAATTAAGAGCAACTGATATTTTCCTGAACTTAAAATAGTTATTTACGACTTGCGGTGTATTAAGGCCATTTGTCGAGCATTTGAAGAATTCAGTGGCATACCTTAGTGCGAATGAAATTATGCGTGAAATTCTCAATTTAGGCACATTTTTGAATTGAGCTTTTCGCTAAAATTATCCGTAAATTAGATTTCATATATAGACGTATGCAGAGGTAAATTAATTTTAAAATAAATTCTGGATGTGGGAAACTAAAATGTATATATGTACATATATACTAACACAAACAAAATACAATAATAAATAAACCGTAAAATACCACATTTCAAAATTTCTTTTAATTCATTTAGTTGTCTGATCTTTACCCAATACGAAGGCTAACGCAAAAGATGGATAATGTACTGAATGTAGCCGGTGTAACACAGACCAAGCCTCCAGCTTCGACTCCATACACAGTGGAGCTAATTACCGATAAGGATAAAGAGGCGGTGCTGGCGATGCTTCGGAGATTTTTCTTCAAGGTAGGTTTTAGTGGAAACATTATAAATAATTTGTTAACATACCTATTATATTTATCAAATTATTTATACTTATTGCCCTAACTTCATATAAGTATTATTATATTTTAATTGCAATAGATTTAGCGACTCTCACTCTATAAAGAAAATACAACTTGCAGAGTTTTCCGTTAGCTTAAAGAAGAAGGAAGAAACATCTGCCGATTAGAAAGTACCTTGAAAATAGGAAAACATATTTTTTCTAGCGCACCCAAAGACATGAATGCATAAAGCAAAATAGTATATCCTAAAATATTACCTTTATTCATACATACATACATAGAAAAACACATGTATACAATAGTTTTCACGATGTGAATGCCCTCCAAGAAAACGGATCGGACTCGGTAGCAACTTCGACAACAAATGCTAAAATTTATTAATTGTTTACATAAATATAAAAACTTGGCTTATATCTCATGGGATCTATTTGTATGAGCACTTGCTTCTATATACATGTCAAATAAGGCGGATTAACTGTCCGTGCGCCTGAAAAGGTGTGAAGCTTTGTATGCAAACGTATGTTTATAGCCGATAAAATATTCGCGCCACATGCAAATGAAGAGGAGAATGAGAATATTAAGTATTCAATTACGTTGTACAACATACAATAACATCAGGCGTCAATGAGAATGCGGCAATATCAAAATTAATATGTAAGAGGTACACTTACATACATTCATACATATGTTCAAAGAATTTCGCGATCTGCCCCAAGTATATATGCATTTATTAAAGTTACAATTTCTTTTATTGTATTTGCGCACTCGTCGCGATCATTTCACAGTTCCAACTACAAGACGTGTTGCCAACCTAGTGCTTTTTGAAAAATAAAACGCAAAAAATACAATAGTTTAGTGCCTAATGTCCTATTTAGTGCCTTGACGTTGTTAACCGGACAATGCTTTTTTCCTCGACAAGCCCTTTGTGATAGTTACTAAAAATTTAAAAACATGGACATCATCAAAGTTTTCTTTTTGGACAATGAACATTCGCTTTAGAACCCGCTTTCATCAGGATATTCATATATTTACAACAAAATTGGTTTATTTTTACATTGTCTGAGAAAATGTACCACAATAACATATTAGTAGATGGTTGAAATTAATTCAAATCCACTAAACCTTACGATTTTAAATTTTAATAGACGTCAATATTTTCAATTTCTTTGTTACAAAGCTATTGTATTACAACATGAGGTGCGACTAATGTACAAATGGATCTACAGCATATCAAAAACTGTTAAACTTCAGATATTCATGAGATTATATAGTGTACTATTTATGTATATGCATATGCTTATACATATATTGTTTTTATATGACATTAAATACAAATTATCTTCTCTTCACTCTAGGATGAACCACTTAATAAATTTCTGGATTTGGGTGAATGTAAGGAGCTGGAAGAATACACACTCAAATGTGTTAAAGATAACTGTTCCTTCAAAGCGGTGCACAACAACGGTGATTTGATTGGCATTTTTCTTAATGGACTTTTGAAAAGACCAGTAAGTATCATAAATTATCGATCTGAACACTTTCTTCGGAGATTGCATCGTTGCCTTGGATAATAACCCATGCAAACTTTCGTGAAAATATCTCGTCAAATGAAAAAGTTTTCCATACAAGTACTTGATTCAGTACAGTTTGTATGCCAGCTATATACTGTAGTGATCCGATCCTACCAAATTTTTTTGAAATTCTCGTCTAATAAAAAAGCATCCTACAAGTATATAAGCACTTTATTCCGATCGTTCAGTTTGTATGCCAGCTATATGCTAAAGCGATCCGATCTAAGCAAGAACTTGATTCCGAGCAGCTTCTTATGGAAAAAAAGACGTGTTCAAAATTTCAGATCGATATCTCAAAAACGGAGGGAATAGTTCGCGTATATATAGACGGATGGTTAACGTCTATCACTAAACTTAAGAAAATAAACTTAATAAACTCATCGAATTAAAATAAATTCCAAAGAATAAGGTTTAAAAAAATACTAATACAAAAGTAATATGGTTCGGGTTAGTTTAATGTTGTTTAAGACAAATATATGGATTGTTTTTATGAATCAAGTTTTCTCCGATCTGACTATCCTTAAATCAAACACCATAAAAAGCTAATATAGAAAAATATTTACAGGTCCCAAGTACAGTTTAAATGGATAGTCCTAAAAACACAAAAACGCAAGATACATTTATAATTCAATATATATTTATGTATTTCTCAAAAGCAACGAATTCCAAATATGAAAATATTCCGGAACTGTCGATTTTTCGGAAAATATTTGTATTTAAAAATTGGGTAAACTAAAAAAAATTATATACATTTCTAATAATAATGTATAAATATGCTTTTATGTGAGCTGAGTAAGAATATAACATCATCGATCTTCTGTTTCAGCCGCCATCAGCAAAACCTTCTGAGAAAGCGGCCGATTCATGCCAGCACGAGAAATTTAAGAAGATACTGGCTCTTTTTGATAGAATTGAAGAGAACTTTAACGTTTTCGATTTGTACCCGGACATCGACGTTATAGTCGACGGTAAAATACTTTCAGTCAATACCGAATATCGTGGCCTCGGCATCGCTGGTTGCCTGACTGAGCGTACACTGGAATACATGAAGGATCATAATATTCCGGTCATGCAAGTACTATGTTCCAGCCACTATTCGGCTCGTGTTATGGAGAAACTTGGCTTCCATGAAGTATACAAACTCAATTATTCCGACTACAAAGTCAATGACGAAGTGGTGTTCACACCAGCAGAGCCCCACGTGGCCGCTCGTATTTTGGTCAAAGAGATTGCAGATGTCAATAGAAAAAGCACAATATAAGTATTTCCAGAGTGTTTGAGCAGTGTGGCCACTTTACTATGTCAATTGGTTGTAAACAAATTTTAAATGTGAAGAATAAATGTTATTTAGTATTAATATTAACCACTTGGTGAGGGTGTAATTCAATTAAAAAAGTACAATAAATAAATGTTACTAACCACACATACATACATACTGATGATAATGTACATCAATATCCTTGACTTTTCAATCTCATAATAAATGTACCTAAAGCCGTTCCGTTAAATATTTTAAAGCCAAGATTTAGTACCTTAAGGCATGTTTATAATTAATTAATTATAATTTTTTTTAGTTTTTAAGACGTTGAACTTATATTTGTACATATGTGTGTGCTTACATTATTAAATTCTCATTTAGATATTTTTGAAGTATTTACTGAGTACATTTGATTCCTGATGAATTTACAACATCGTGTGTTTACACCCAATTAAATTGAAATTGTTTATTTGATTTTTCGGCTTTGACATACTCCATAAAACATTTGTATTTTTTTATTAACATACACATATGTTTATATATACATATAACATATGTTTATATATACATAACACAATTGTTTTTTTATACTCTCGCAACCTGTTGCTACAGAGTATAATAGTTTTGTTCTTCTAACGGTTGTTTGTATCACCTAAAATTAATCGAGTTAGATATAGGGTTATATATATATAAATGATCAGGATGAAGAGACGAGTTGAAATCCGGGTGACTGTCTGTCCGTCCGTCCGTCTGTCCGTCCGTCTGTCCGTCTGTCCGTCCGTCCGTGCAAGCTCTAACTTGAGTAAAAATTGAGATATCTTTATGAAACTTGGTAGACATGTTTCATGGTACCGTGAGACGGTTGGTATTGCAGATGGGCGTAATCGGACCACTGCCACGCCCACAAAACGCCATTAATCAAAAACAAATAACTTGCCATAACTAAGCTCCGCAATAAGATACAAGACTGTTATTTGGTACACAGGGGCATCTGCAGTTAAAATTTTTTGTTTAAAGTGGACGTGGTATCGCCCCTAATAGGTTTAATGTGCATATCTCCTAAACCGCTAATGCTATAATAACAAAATTCACTGGAAGCAAATGGTTTTAGAACCTCTACCCACAGTGTGAAAATAGTTGAAATCGGGTGGCAACTCCGCCCACTCCCCATATAACGGTACTGTTAAAAACTACTAAAAGCGCGATAAATCAAGCACTAAACACGCCAGAGACATTAAATTTTATCTCTGAGATGGTATAAGATGACTTTATAGGAACCGCGTTCAAAATTAGACAGTGGGCGTGGCACAGCCCACTTTTAGGTGAAAATCCATATCTTGAGATCTGCTTAACCGATTTCAACCAAATTCGGTGCATAACGTTGTTTTCATGTTTCTATGTCATAGTGCGAAAATGGGCGAAATCGGATTACAACCACGCCTATTTTCCATATGACACCATTTTAAATACCACTTGATTCTTTCACTTTCCACTATGCAAATCAAGCAACAATGATTATATCGGCGTAAAACTTTGCGTGAATAATACGTTTAAAGTATGCCACCTTGTGACCAAAAATTTTCTAAATCGAACCAAAACTGTTCAAGCCCCTAAGTACTAAATATGTGGACCCCAGTGCCTATAGTTGACCTTCTACCGAAAATATCAGTCAATCCACAAAGAAATCTCAAACGAGTATACCATTTGACTTTGCGAGAGTGTAAAATGTTCGGTTACATCCGAACTTAGCCCTTCCTTACTTGTTATTCTTATTTTTTAAATTCTGTTTAACAAAAACCAGTCGCCCGAAATAAATAGTTCAGCGAAAATTAATAAATGTGTTCTCAAGATTTTGTTTGGTAAGAGTTCAGAGCATGAATAAAATATTTTAATATATAATTTGCTTCGTCTAATAAGAAGAAACTAGGTATTCAACGATTTTCATGAGTACCTTTACGATAATGGATATAATGTAGTATTAGAGAGCAAACACTGCTTCCAGAAACATTTGCATAATGGGATCGTTACTAGTGATAATGAAATTTCAGGAAAATTTAAAATATCATCATGTCTAAAAGGGTTGTGTCAAATTTCGTGGCAAAATGCTTTCGACCATAGACATAATTCTTATTTTGACTACTCTTAGAAATTAAGGATTCTCTACCGCTATTATAACTGGCGAACCTGCTCCGAAAAAGGCGAACACTATCTTATTGGTCGTATAGGTCGTATGTGACCTCCATCGACGTGAAGAAGGGCATAACGATAACAACGCTCTACTGTACCGAATTGGCTCGCTTGCCAGTAGATAGAAGAAGCTTCAACAAAGATATCGAAACAAAATTTAGAACAGATATTGCTTCTTATATGTGAAAACTTTGATTCGAAATGTGTATGTATACCGAATATGAAGATCTGTCTTACATGGCATATTAGCCATATAATAAAAAAGTTTGATATCTATAATTGACAATTTTCCCCAATAAAGAATATTGATATAATACTCTCGTACTGCGTCAATATTAGGCTGATTCTCAAGAAAATCGGAATTGATGTCCTTAATGAATTTATAGTTTAAAAAAAGCAATTGAAAATATGATTCGAAATCTATCATTTCCTCACAATGTGATTGAAACAAAATTTAAAGACATATTAAGCTCCATTGCAATTTTTGTTTACCTTTACTTGAATATACACTATATCAGATGGTTGAACAAAAGGTGTTTTGCTAAAACAAATCAATAACAATTTTTTTAAATATTATATGTTTTGATGTCATTCCTTCATGTAATGTAATCAACCCTTTTATTAAATAGTTCGTAAGAAAAATATGAATTACTGTGTATTTAATTAAAACTCAAAATATTTGACCTCTATAATATTTTTAACAAGATTTAAACTAAGAATTGAGTAAAATAAATTAGTTTAAAAAAATATTGACGTGATTGTTCTCTCACAACTTGTATTATGGGTTCAATAGGTCTAACAACTTTACTTTCCATTAACTCAACGATAGCAAATGATGTAACACGATTAATAATTGCATTGTATAAGTAATTGTTCGTCTAACAATGCAATTTGTAGGAACGATATTTAAATCAGCAATTTTACTGTTTGTTGATTGACTTTGTAAAGCTAAAACCTGAAAGAATGTAATTTTATTAATTTGTTGTGAATTATAGCTCGTAATGCGGTGGAGAAACCACGTTGAATTTATTTTCGTAAGTGAATAATGGAGTTATCTTGCTCTTGCAAGGTCTAACTATTGTACGAAATACAAAAGTTTTTACTAAAATAGGCAAGAACACGGAACATCCAATTACAGAAACAGAAATATAAACTAAATGTATGTGTGTATATGTAATATGACAGCTGGCACATGGTTGCAATTATTTTGCTACTCCTCATTGCACGGAAATTTACATAGGTTTTGTTGCAGCATCCGTGCAATGTTTGAACTGTAAAAGGGTTTTACAAGACCCAGAGGATCCCCCTAATGTGTCGGAAAATTAGAACCACCCTGTCGAAAAACAGAAAAATTGGTTTAACACATTCTACACTTTTCATACTCTTTGACAATCCCGTAGCCAGGATTTAGTTTCGGAAGGGCGCGGAAATTTTAAAGCGATATAGGTTATCAGCGCTTTCTCTGTATAAGGTGAACGTCCTATTTATTGATCAGCCGAAGAAAACTAAATGTTGACATGTGTTTGAATATTTATATTTTTAGAATTTTATTAATTACTAACTCTTCATCTATCACTAAATCTTCCACGCAAATCTAAAACCAAAGTCAAATGATAGCATATTAAAGGATAATAAAACTGTAGTTACATACTTGTATATCAAAAAATAGTACATAACGTAACTGTATCATAGGAAATCATTAATGTTCTAATTATTGATTGTACATACTTAACTCATAATATCTCATAAACTAGTATTTACTTATGGAGAGCTACAGAGCCCGTCCATATAGTCAACCTAGGCAATTGCCTTAAGAGAGAGTGAGATACATATTTTATTTATTTTTATACTCTTCCAACATGTTTATACAGAAGACCTGTAACGTGCCATAACTAAGCAATCAATACGAAATTATAATTTGGTACAGAAGATCGCAGTAGGGACATCCGTGAACTTAATATTTGGTCCAGCTCCGAAATAGTTAAATATATATGAATATCTTTCAAACCGCTGAAGCTAACACAACCAAACTCGCTGAGATAACAGCCACCTGATGATACTAGGCTTGCAGCCTCAGGATCTGACGGCCAGGCGTCTGCACACCATGAGTGCCTTTGTGGCTTTAGATAGCGTTAACTTCACATGGCTATTCCACCGCAAGGTGTAGTCCAGTGTGATACCTAAGTATTTTACTTCTCTAGACACTTCTAACTCTCTGCCCCCAATGGATAGTATTCTAAAGCCTGGAAGAGACCTTCTTTTTGTGAAAGGGATGACGGTTGTTTTTTGCGGGTTAATGCTCAATCCTAGCGTATCGCACCATCCCTTTGCTAGGCTTAGGCCCCTTTGGACTATGTCGCAGAGAGTGTTCTCAAATTTCCTTTTTGCCATTATAACAATGTCGTCGGCGTACCCCTGGCACCGAATTCCATTGTTCGTCAGCAGCTCAAGGAGTTCATCTACTACGAGGCTCCATAGAAGAGGTGACAATACCCCACCCTGAGGGCAGCCTCTCGTAGTAACAAGACGTATCTTGCTTTCCCCCACCGTAGTTTCTGCAATCCTAGTATGCAGTACGGCCTTAATCCATCTGCATAAAGGAGCTTCCACGTTCCTTTTCTCCAGTGCTCTGATCACTCTTGCGTGGGACGCTATATCAAAAGCACCTTCAATGTCTAGGAAAGCACATATCGCAACCTAATTGTTCTCCAGCGAGTTCTTTCAGCAGTTAGTTGGTACAGAGCAGTATTAGTAGACCTGCCTGCTCTGTACGCGTGCTGATTTGCATGCAGAGGTGTTACTTTTAGTGCATTCGATCTTATATGGTTGTCTATAATCTTTTCCATACCTTTTAGCATGAAGAAGGTGAGACTAATAGGCCTGAAGGACTTGGCCAGTGAATAGGCCTTCCTTCCTCTTGGGTATGACGATTACCTTTGCTACTCTCCACGGTGATGGGATGTACACCAACGCAAGGCTATCTCTCATCTGCCCTACCAGGTGCGGCAATAGAGCTTGCTCACCTTGCTGTAGAAGTGCTGGGAAGATGCCGTCAGCCCCTGGTGACTTATATTTCGAGAAGGAAGCCAGTGCCCACTTGATTGAGTCTGCATTGAATAAATTCTTGATGTGGTTGTCTCCCCTGGGAAATAGGCCGATGCAAGGACGAAGTCTGCACCCCTGACTTCCCCTCTTAGGACCCACGGCTCCTGGATCAGTAGGATACCCAGGTTATCCGAAAGGAACCTACTCGCGATAACAGCCGAGGCTGCTGTCGCGTGGTGTAGGTTCACCTGGGCCACTTCAATATGGGCACTGACGGTCACAGGATTGGTTCCAGGAGGGACAGATCGTCGTCGCTGTCCTCGTTACTCCCCTGCTGTACCTGCCCCTTCAGCCCCTCTAAGAGCTCTTGTGTGGAGGGTAGCTCCCCTTCACACTCTTTTGTACCCATGGTTACTGCTCCTTCCGCGACTGCTGTAGCACCATGCACCATCGTAGCAGTAGCCTGCTCGAGTGTGCCGGTAACGGACTGAGTGGGCGTCTCATCCAACAGCATTGCTTCCTCCGCCGTTCCTTCCGCCGGTGTGGTTTTAGGCCTCCATGGCCTCATTACCACACTGCTGAATCTAAAATTCAGCCTGAACCCCTCCTTTCGGATCAATTTGTAGGACTCATCATCGATGGTGATGTTGAGCCTCCATCCGGCGTCCTCAATACTGCTGTCTACTACCCTCCAAGCCGATGTACTAAGTCCATCGTTTTGGTTTCGTATGAGACCAATAGCAAACTGGTAGGGTTTTCCTGCGCTCCTGGGAAGAAACACCGTCATGCTGTGCATAGACGGTATGTCTTCGCCCCTCCTCGCGCATAGGACCGGACCTTTCCATCCGTTCAGCTTTGGAGCGATCTCCGCAAGCCAAGTGGTCGTATTTTCGTCCTTACAGTCGACTAGCAGCATTCCTGACCTGAAGTATACACCATGGAATGAGCCGGTGTACCCACACCCATTGTATACCTCATCCATGATGCTATCTTGCAGCACTGTAAGTTCTTCTGACCCCAGGACCTCCGCCGGGTAGTTTCGTGGCAGCACCGCCATCCGGTTGCCTTTAAGCATTCCCCCCCCCCCTCTTCCTCTTGCGCACACCTTCTGTCCCATCCCGTTTTGGTTCATCCTCCTCTGAGCAGCTGAGCCTGCTTGAAGAGGTTTCTGTGGGATCCCCTTATCTGCACTCGTCGCAGTAGCTGCCTTACGATTGCCACTGCACGAGGGCACGTCGTCATCATCACGCGCGTGCTCCTCAAACAGTGCGCGCTCTTCTGGCGAAAGAGCGTCCAGGAAGCTGAACTTGCGCCTAGCTCCTGGACCACTCTTACCTGCAACGGAAGCATTGCAGTCTGATGTTGTTGTCGTTGCCGTTTTAGGTGGTTGCTGTTGTTGTCGTCGTTGTTGCTACGTTTTTTGGGTTTTTTGTGTTTGTTTGTTGTTGTTTTCGTTCATACTGGTTCTTACGACCCTTGGCTCAACCAGGTGAGCTTCCGGGTCTATTCTGTTTAAGGGGGTACGGTATTTTCCGCCGCGCCAGAGCCCCTTGACGCGGTAAGGCCACAGTTACTTCCCAAGGCGGCCCGGTGTTGGGAAGGCTCCGTTATAATACAGCCAAATTTACCTCCTGGCTGCAAATCATCTAATGGGCACGGGAGTCGCGTAACACCCTGGATTAGGAGGTGGCAGCTCTTGGTTGTCGCACGCATGCGGCTCCTGACAACCCGCGTGAGAGGTACTAGACAGCACTTCTCACCCTGGTTGGGAGATGCCGAGAATGCCTTGCGACCTAAGCCCCTGCACCACGGCAAGGTGCCTGCCATTACTCGGCTTACTTGAATTAAAATTGAAAATTACGGAAAAAACTAAATCTGGTATTTTTGACGGTCCTCAAATCAGGGAACTAATAAAGGACCAACATTTTACTGATTGTATGACAGATAAGGAGAAATCTGCATGGATTGAATTTATTTGGGTTGTGCAAAATTTCTTAGGAAATAAAAAGTCTCCAGACTACATTCAACACATTGAGCAGCTCATGTTGCACTGCGAAGAACAAAGAGAACGCTTTCATCAGGATATTCGCACTATGGAAAAACGAAGAGTCATTTGAATGCAAATATGGTGGGTCATTACTGCTGGAACATTCTAAACAAGACTGATGTTTCTACTCATGCAAGAAAATCCCATAAAAGAAAGTTTTCTCCATGTTAAGTAAGAGCAATATATTTTTTAATTCTAAAATTTTAGTATTGTTGGCTAAAAATGTAATATGTTCATATTTCGAAAACAAGAGCTGCTAGAAAAAAACTGACTACAGATTTGGAATCAGCGACCATATATACAATGATATACAAATATCATATTTTCATATTTTCGCATTCTAATATAAATTATAAACAACAGTGTTGTTGTTGTATGTTGTACATTGCTATGCTTGTTTACGAGTATTCCATTGATTTGCACTCAAAATATCACATATATATGTATACATATATATATATATATATACATATGTATTTTCATTCGAATCACAGTTTTGAGTTCACAGTGAGCTAATTAGCGATGCTAAGCAAAATTTGAAAACTAATTTCTATTTTGCCATGGTTGATACTGCATTGCCTTCACTCGATGAAAGATTTCTATTTAATATTGATTGCTTGCAAACTTTTACCTGTCATTAACTCAAGGTGGATTGACGGATATACTCATAGATGCAGAAGTACAAGCTATTGGCAAAAAAATTGCTCATAAAAGTACACCAGCGGATGTTTTAAATTATATTTGTTCAAACGAATCGTTCTAAATTTATTTTAGGCAATACGGCTGTCATGAAAGACTGGCAGGCTTGGCAAGGCTTGATGCTGTTGCAAGTGTTGCCAGAAATTCACGCAGAACGCAACACTTTGACAAATTTGCAACACGTGATTGCCATCTCGAACGCATCCTATATCAAACAAACGTGCTGAGAACAAATTTTCCTAACATCTTAATTAAATCCCGTCTGATTCTTTCACTTTGCGGTATATAAATAAGCACTGGAATAGAACTTTGCCCAAACCTTTTCCGTCAAGTTATATCATCTTTTATCCAAAATCGGCCCATAACTTTTCCGGCCCCCAGATACATCACTGCCTATGTCTGCCTTTTTCCGAATATATCAGTCAATTGTTAGGTATCTTTATAAAATTGAGAAAAAATATTTTCCTTGTAATAATCTCTCTTGATGCTGAAAATTGAAGAAATACTTCTCCTAGCTCTGTATACCCAATATGAGGATTTTCAAACTTCCGACTGAAGAAAATTAAGACTATTCTAAAATATAATTTGGTAGTGAATATACGATAGGTGATCCACAAATTACCTCTGATCCCTTATATAATATTATATATAATTATCTGTTATTCTAGCATACTCTATGCGTAATTTGCCAGCCAGTAGGTGAGTTATGTTCTGAAATTGCGTGGAAACATGTTTTTTTGCTAGAGTAAATGCAGTCAGTCCCGGCGTTCCTCTATCCTCAATATACCGAATATAATGATTTCCGGCTTTCCAACTTACTCTATGCCAATATTATAATTTCCGACTTTATACCGTTAACAGTTAAATATGATATACTTTAGCGCTGAATATGAAGAATTCGGTCTAAACCTTGGCAAAACACTCATGATATCCGCGCCTCCGTTAACTGTTCCCTCATATAACGAATATCAAGGCAGCGCATGAACGTGCTATAAAAATAACCCGTGATAACTTTTTTTTGTGTTGGTAATCGACTTACTTTTTTTTTATTTGGCACGTTATTATTTTAATTTTTAAGAGATGAATGCTTGGGATACTGAAAAGAAGGTTTGGGTAGTGCAGCGGTACCATGCTTTGCAGTTCGTCATTTCCGTCCAAAGGGAGTTCAGACGGGATTTTGGCAGCACTCTCCCGAGTAAATAGATCATGTTTGCCGAATCTGGAAGTATCGCAAGAAGACCGTACCATCGAGATCCGTATGTTCGTGTTCAAGAAATAATCGGGGCTGTTGTATTGTCAATTCAGGCAAATCCAAGAGTTTCGACTCGCATTTTATGGGCGCAACTTGGAGTTAATAGACGGCATTACAACGGATAATTCATGATGAGTTAAACCTGTTCCGTACAAAATTCAAATAACAAACCGGTTAAACCCTCTAGATTTGCGAATTCACCTGGAATTTTGCCAAAGGATGATTAAAATGGCCGATGAAGACAATAACTTGATAAATTGCCTGTTTATGTTGATGAGGCCCACTTTGATCTAAACGGAAATGTAAACAAGCAAAATTTCCGTATATGGGGTGAATCAAATCCAGAAATAGTCCGCAAGACGGAACTTTACTCAGAACGAGTCACTGTGTAGTGCGCAGTTTTATCAAGGTGTATGGTGTGTACTACTTTGAAGAAAACGGTGTAACAGTAACTGTCAATGGGCACCGTTATTTACCATAAAGATGTTCAATGAGTTTTTTTACCCAGAACTACGCCTAAGACGTATCCTTTTCAATAGCTTTTGGTTCCAGTAAGAAAAAATTAAAAAAATGTAATACATTGATTAAAATTATTATTATATATATATGTATTACGGTTTGTTTTATATAAAGTTGTACCAAACCCGAAAATATACCCCCGGCTTTAATCTTTGAAAATAGCGAGAGTATTAAGTGTTACAACCGGACTTAGTACTTCCCTCATCTTTAGTTTTTAATTTCTCCCCGTTTTGCGTACCACTTTGTTATAGAAATTATTTTCAATTGATTTAGTAAGTTTCTGACACCTTACAATATTAACAAATCTCACTTATAAGTGAAACAAACCCCTTCCTCTTAATTTTTGATACTAAAGATTAAACTTTTTAAATTATTTTACTGTTAGGAGGGCTGATACATACTTCTTATTAAGTATACATTTTCATTAATTAGCACAATAAATATAATTGAATAATAATACTGAAGTGTCACAGTGTCAGCAGTTAAATTGAGCAAATACAGAGTTATTGACCGATTGTCTTAATTGTGCTAACTGGCCGAAGCCGATGTTGATCCCTTAAACAACACTACCTGTGCATTTATTCAATCATGGACAAACGTACAATATTTAATAAACTTTAATAACAAATGAAAATCACATATCATTACAAAATAAATAAAATTTTAATAATATATTTATTCACTTATGTACACATACACATACATACATACACATGTATGCATATACCCAAACTTAAATGTTAATTAAAACTGTTTTTCATTATTTAAGGGCTCTGATCTTTGCGCCATCCCAGGGAATTTTGGCATCGGCGAGAGTAAGTCGGTACACTCCATATTATTTTTGGTCGGTCGCGCCTTCTGTTTCTGAGGTCTGCGGTGTTCGTTAGAGTGTGGCCTATCCAGCGGCATTTTCTCCACTTTCTTTACTTCAGTACGGGATCTTCTTTTGTTAAACACCATAGCGCTTCATTATTTATAGTTTTGAACCAAAATATCCTGCATATGATACCTAAATACATAGTGATGAATTTTTGGCCTCTCAAGCATGCAAAAAATATTCTGAGCTTTGTGTTTCTGGCGCGAGCTTTCTCACACCGCTTACTGCCGTCTAAACGCCGCTAATCCTACAGCTATCATCCGTTTCTGCTTCTCCGTGAGTTGTCACAATGTTTCGAGGTGGCAGAAGCTGTCGACGAACTCGATATCATGATTGTTAAACTTTATTTGGCTTCAGCCCTTTCTTGCAAAAATCCAAATCATTGAGTTACCATCTGAAATTCATACGAAAAGAAGAGGAGAGAGTATAAGAGTTTTGTTCACCTAACGGTTGTTTGTATCACCTAAAAGTAATCGAGATAGATATAGGGCTATGTATATATAAACGATTAGGATGTCGAGACGAGTTCAAATCCATTCTTAAATAAAAATTTTGATATATTGGTGAAACTTTCTACATACATATGTATGTTCTTTAGCACCCAAGAGCGTCCGGTATTGCATATGGGCGTAATTGGCCACGCCATTAAACGAAAACATATAAAGTGGTATAACTAAGCACTAAAATAAGCTAAGCACTATAATAATAAACTGTAAATTGGTAAAAAGGATCGCATTAACACATGTTGGCTAATTTTCTGCAAGTGGTCGTGGCCTCGCCCCTAAATAGTTTAATGTACATAATTTCTAAATTGTTGTAGCTAAGTCAATCAAATTTGCTGGATAGAAGTCTTTTTAGCACTTCTTCGTGAAAATGGGTAAAATCATCTAACAACCACGCCCACTCTCTATATAACAGATATGTTAAAAACTGCTAACAATTCAAGCTCACTAAATAAATGCGCCAAAAGCATTAAGTTTCACAATTAAAGTGTAAGGTAGGGCTTTATAGGTGCCGTTGTAAAAATTGTATAATGGGGTTGGCACCGCCCACATTTAGGTGAAATCCTATATTTTAGGAACTACCGGACAAATTTCAACCAAATTTGGTATGTAAGGTTACCCAATTATTTCTATCACACACTGTGAAAATGGAAATCAGACAAAAACCACGCCTACTTCCCATATAACATAGCATTAAGTTCTATCTGATTCTTTCACTTCCAGTATAAAAGTAAAAACCAATGAATACTTCATCTTATGCCCACAAATTGTAGAAATTGGGCTATAACTTTTGAAGGAAATATCTTGATCCCAGTGCATCTGGCTGATGAAGTTCAGAAGGAATCTCCTTCTTATAACAGAGTATCTTCTTGCCTGTGATTGTAAATAATGAATGCCTTCTTTTAATTAAAATATATTCGAAAATCACCTATACCACTTTACCTTGTGGGAGTATAAAATGACCGAATTTGGCTCTTCCTTACTTGTTCAAGATTAAGTTTGAATCCACGTTCCGTGTAGTACATTGCAGATTTTTATATAGATTTTTCGATTCTCACAAGTTATGAAGGGCATAGCAACAGCTGGCTACACAACGACATGACCCAAGTATTTTGTAATATTTAATACAGAAAAACAAATTAAGTTGGGACCAGTACCAGCTAGATTTTCCTAAATTAATTTTATTAAAAAATAAATGTTTAAATATATCTACCTTATAAAACTAAAACAATACAAATTACCTTATACAATTAACCATATATGTAATTAATAATAATTTATTATTGACAACTTTTTGAGACTCTCCAAATGTTTAAGTAAACATATTTTTTAAATTACCCTTTTTCCTTTTAAAACTTCATTAGTGTTCAGAAAATCGCCAAGCTTATCAAAACACGTCTAACCTTAGCAGCTACTACAAACAAAATAAGCAATGAATACGCTGAAAATTGTATTGTTCTTCAGGGGCATGTATATTTACATAATAAAAGAAAAATAGACAAACTTCAAACGCCGAAATTTTTGAATCTAGTTGTAGGACTATTCTCATGATGTTCCAGGGATGAGGTTCCGCTTCAAGCAGGTGACTGCTATGATAGTTTTGTAGAAACCAAACTCGGTCGGTTGATTGCCTTGTGAGTGCCCACAATGTTTCCTTATCCCTCCCCAGGTGCTGCATGCTAAAGACTTGAGGACTTAGTGGAGGCTCTTTTTCCGAAGTGAGGGTGCCTAGCTATCAAATGTGAGACCTAAAATTTTAGGGTTATTTACAGAATTTTGATATCGATGACTGAAGTGTTGAGGGGAAGTCTGAAAAATATAAAAAACAACGGGGTATTGATTTCAGGTGATTAAGGACGAGCACTTCGCGTCATTCTCAACATACGATCAACGCTTATGTTGAAAAAATACAGCGAAAAGTAAACATGTGGCTTTAAATTCTTCAAGAACCATTTGATGGCACATTCCCAAACAATCATTAGATATCGGCATAAAATTGGCGACCGATAATTAATTCTATCTACTTATACTACCATTGACCGCATATTTCCCGATGTACGCACACAATACGTGAATCGTGAATGGCTAATAGGAAGATACATACGGAAGATACGGATCCCACGAATCTTCAACACAGTTTTCGGATTATCCAACACAACTTTTGAACTCATTTGGTTTGCCAGGAATGTCACCGCATCATCTACAACTTAAAGTTTAATTTCTAGTTATTTTTCTTCGGATTTTAAATCCACCACGAAAATCTATGAAATGTGTTGCATTTGCATTTATTTTTTGAAGATTCTCTCTTTTAATTGTTGACCGCGGCTACGTCTCAGATGGTCCATCCGTTGAGTCCAATTTTCGATGACTCGTTCGAGCATTTTGACAGGTCACTGGCGAATGAAAGGCGTGATATTTTGCGCCAAGATCTGAATCGGAGCGGGATTGCACGCATAGACTTTAGACTTTACATATCTACCTACAGGATAGGTCCGTACAGGACAGGTCTAACGGTGTAATATCACACGATCGTAGTGGCCGATCGCCCCGCCCAAAACGAGAAATTATCTGCTCATCGAAGCTCAAAAAATTCATTGATTGATGCGGTGTGTGGGAAGTGGTGCCGTCTTGTTGAAGCCAAATGTCAACCAGATACCAGCTTCAATTTCAGGCATTGAATAGTCGGTTATCATGGCGCGATAACGATCGCCATTGACGGTCACGTTCTCACCGGCATCAGTTTTGTAGAAATATGGACCGATGACTCCACCGGCCCACAATCCACACCAAACCGTTGTTTTTTCTGGATGAAATGTCAGCTCTTAAATTTCTTCAGGTTGCTGGCTCAATGGGCCTAATCGCTAAACAAAATTTGGCTCGAAAACGTCATATCTTCTTGGAACTTTTCAAGACCACATAGAGCTTGGAAAGGTCGAGCGGCCACTATCAAAAAAAGACTCATAGCTATTAGACCAATTTCCACCAAATTCATTATTTTGGCAATACATAGTATGTTAAGTTGTGAAAATGGGTGAAATTAGACAACAAACAAGCCTACTTCTTTTATATCACAATTTTAAATTCCTTTACAGTGTAGAAATCAAGTACCAAAGAATGTATCAGAATAAAACTGTATTTAAAGTGTGTCTTTGGAGCGTGGCATCTTACGTCTAAAAGTTATCTAAATCGGACCATATCTTTTCAAGCTCCCAAATACCGTATATGTTAAAATATAGATAAATATGTCGACCTTAGCGCCTGTAACTGATATTTTACTTAAAATATAGGTAAATTTCTGAGATATATTATTGAAGTTCAGAGAAAATCTTTTCCTGATAATAGTTTGCCCTTGTGCCAAAAAAGGATAAATCGTTTCAAAACTTCCCCTAGCCCCTATGTACCTAATTTAAATATTTTGGAACTTCAAGTTGACTTTATACTGTATATATCAGTCAATATGCGTGTTATGTATCTTAATGAAACTAAGAAACCAAATATTTCTAATAACAGTGTATCCTTTTGCCTAAAATGGGTAAAATCTGGTGAATACTTCTCCTAGCCCCAATTTCCAAACATTCGGTTGATTTTATGCCTTGTGTCTTGGTAGGTATTTGATGTATCTTATTGAAAGTTTGCGAGCATATTTTTCCGGTAATAGTATGTCGTGATGGCAAAGCTTGATAAAATCTGATCAATACTAAACCTAGCTATCCTTAATATAAGAATTTCAGTTTTCCAGTTCTATACCATTTGGAATATTGGATATACTATAGTTTAATGCAGAAATGTGTAAAATCGGTCCAAAAACTAGCCCAGCTGCAAGATAACTTGTAGATATAATGATTTTCGTAATTCTAACAGACTGCCGAATATGTCCTAATCGATCCTGATCGATGTGTGGGTTATCTTATAATATAATATAGGTTAGTAGGAAGCAAAAATAGTTGTAATCCAATTTTAATATAAAGTTTTGCTAACACCTGATAAATAAGCCATCGGATTTGATCATTGAAAATTGCAAGAAAATAAAATGTTCGATAACATCCGAACTTAGCTCCTGTTGTTGTAGTTGTAGCGGCAGAGTTCCTTGGTCGGGACTATCAACTCGGGAGAATTCTGCCCCTACTTAGCTACTCCTTATTTGTTGTTATTTAATCACAAGAATATTCACTAGAAATAATTTTTATGTGTTTTAGTGTTTATATATAATATTTGTTTATGTTAGAACGCCCTTTTAATACATTATACAAGAATTTAAAAAATACATTTTTATTAGTGATGCCAAAGTAAAAATAACAATTGGTTTACGGTTTTTTAAATACCTAAATATATAAACAAGTAATTCAAACCCCAAAATATGCACAATAAATATAAAATTGAAAGTATAAAATGTTTACGAATATTTAGTGTTTTACACTAGCATTTTTCGTTAAATATTGATTACAATATCACATGTATTTATATTTTATTAGTGGTCTTATATAAACAATTATATTAAAATATGTGTAGAATTATTTTCATATCTATGTCGTTAAACTTATCTTTCGTCCTTTGACATTCGATTCAGCATTCGCCGTAACTGTTCTTCATTGCCATATTTTTCAGCGTCTGCACGAATCGCCGCATGATAAATTCCCGCCTCCGCTGATTTAGCATCTAGTTTTTGTCGATTAAAAGTAAAGGAGTGACTGAAAAAATAATAAGTGCTATGTTATATATTATTGGTGGATTTAACTTGAATGAGGCATCTACATAAGTTCTTACTTTATAGATACAAATCCAAATATTGCCCCAGCAATTCCTAAAAGTGCAAGGGTGATCGCTATTTTTAAATTGGAAACTCGCTCTAAGCCTTTCACCCCATAGTAAGGCCCAGGATTTGGATCGTAATTTGGTTTTACTTCCCATGGCCTAAAAGGAATTCACTGATTGATGTCGTACAATATGGATTTGTATATATACTTATGTATCTCAGTGAAGTGCATATTTTTAACAGCTCCTGATCTCGATCTTTGACTGGGCCGTAGCACACCTGCGTTCCATAAACGTTGATCATATGCTGAACGTGATTTGGGTTTGCTGAGAATTTGGTAAGCTTCCGAAATCTTTACAAATTGCGCTGTTTGTTTAGGATCTGGGGTGATGCCTTTGACATCGGGGTGAAACTGATAAAAATCCAACAAAAGATATTTACATACATATATACATTTAATAGCCATATAATTTTAGAGATTTGTTTTATACTTTAGACATACCTTTTTTGAAAGTTGTACAAAAGCATTCCGTATTTCTTGGTTACTACAATTTTTCTGCACTTTAAGTATGTCATAATAAGTTTCCCCATTTTGCCCACTACTGTGCCGAATTCTATGTGACCAAAAAACACTTATTTGAATCTTCTGCCGAAATAGTAAATATATTTAATTCATCTTACGCAGTTTGTATGCACGTCCAATACGGGCTTTTATTGCAGATAATATTTTGCATTTTATTTTGAACAATTTCAAAACTACTTTAAATTTTATAAAATTTTGAAGGAATTCAAAAATAACACATCCGTAATGAAATACAAAATAAAAAATAAAATAACAATCAGCTGTTATATTCAACAGCCTGCTTTGCAATAAATGTAAACATTAGAGACATCTCTTGCAGTGATGCCAGAAACACAAAATTTATGTAGTTTTTAAACATAAACTACTGTAACGGATTTCTCGATAAATCGTCTACCTGTAACTCACTCTTGCGTCTATGCACTTATCTTTATTCCAACAACTTAACACTTTTTGCTCGATATTCGAGTTTTCAACTTATTGCTTAGCAATTAAGTTATTGCTTTTACCAGAGAACGTAAATGAATAGAGAAGGAGCAAATGTTAGCAGTACTAAAATGTTAATTACGATGGAGGAACATCGAAAACGCGCAAATTGGAAAATAAAATGTCACCACAGCTGTCAATTTACGCAACGAACTACACCACTCTATAAGCAAAATGTATATACATACATATGCGCAGATGTTCTTTGATATGCGCATAAACAAAAATTGAAATAATAAAAATGAAAGTAATTGACTTCCGACAAGAAAATATAAATAATGAGGGAAATAATATGAAAATAGAATTAAAATATCATTTAATAAAAAAGGAATATAAAAATAAAAAAAGAGTATAAAAAAATATCTGATAGGATTTGAACTTAGGCAAAATATTTCACATTGCAATAAAGAAGTCTGCTATACAAGTAGCACCACAGACAATATTTAAGCTCTTGAGTCTAATCTGTGAATTCAAACAGCTATTATTGTTTACTTGCTTCAAATGTTCATATGTCCATATGTGAATATTCTTGAAATTGCCTTCTTTCATTCGCATGTCCAAATATATTTGCATATATGTACACATATGTACATATGTATGTCCCTCAATATGTCTTTCGCAAAAAATCAAACATTCGCGCAAGTGACAAAAAAACGTAGACGCACCAGCATCGGCCAATAATATTCAAGCAAACTCGCGGCTTATTTTCTAAGTATTTCATATTACAACAACAACAAATTCATTCATAAGGAACGTGCGTCTGCTTCAAAGCAAAGTGCGCTCGTTCATAACTCTGCGCCGCGCTATTTTTTCTGTGCGCCTGGTAAGCCACATTTGGTTTTCATATAGAATTCCTACGCATATGCGAAATAAATGTGTGAAATTGAGTAAAACGAGAAAAATTCAATTTTACAATTTGACAGCCACCACTGAAAATCCTACCATCCCCCTCGCATTTGTATGTCCACAAGCTGCTTCCTCACAACATTTGCTAAAAATCAGAAATTGAAGAATTTGTCTGATGTTCACTTCAGAAAGGAGAATTGGCAACATGACCTATTCGAGTTTAAATAATATTTATATTTTTTCATATTATGCACTATTTATGGCATTAAATTATAAAATTTATATCAAATTGACATTCATATGAAATCATTAACTACTTCTATATATTCTAAGCACAGTCCATATAGTACTTTTATATGTTTACTTATTATCATTGTTTCATAGTTTTTCGATTTAGCCCATTTTATCTAAATACGACGCTATGAAAATGCAGCCCAATCGGTAATCACAATATTTCAAAAGAGCATAAGTCAATTTTCAACAGCAAAGCCCTGCAAAAAGGACAAACGAGACAACATAGCCGATCGACATTGTCGTAAAATTGTCGATTGAAACAAATTTTGTCAACTCCGCCACGATGCGCAAAATTCGGCGTCAATATGTATGCGAGCTCATATGTATATATGTATGTTTGTCGACAAAATCCTCATTTGGTTTTTTTCAACAACACAATGTCCGGGCGAACTCGCCGTTATTTCGTTGGCTTGCCACCATACACAAAGGCGTTTCAACTGAGGGCTCATAGTATATTAATATGCTGCTTAATTTGAATTGAAAAATACTGATGCATAAATTACTTATTTTCGAATTATAATATTAATATACGTAAAAATATAAATACACATATATTCATACTTATAATCGTTTTTAAAATAAATTCGATGAATAAAAATATATCTGAAATAATTATGTGGCGGTGTGCCCCAATCCCTCCTTGCCTGCGATCGTTCAACTCGCAAAAAGCAAAAAGCGTAGACAAAAGTCATTGCTTGTGCGGGGCAAGAAGAAGCAAGCATCAGCGTACGTGTATTTAAGAATGTATGTGTGATTATCACATTTGTGTAAATACGCATAAATAAAGGAATATGCAATAAACCCAAACATATGAACATATTTTCCTGAAATATTTTAATTATCTCAGGAAGTTAAATATGCTATTAAAGTAATTGAATTATGATATGCTTAGATTCCAATTAATAAAATAAAAATTAAATAAAATTTCAGTTTCATGAGTTTTAGGATTCGAACGTATAGGTTCGTATTCGGATTGTGCTTAACCCCTTCCCGCTTACGACCTCAGCCACCACAAAAGTGGAAATGTGGCCGCTTAGCCACCGTTTTATTGTTATTCTTTGTTTAATAAGCAATTGCTCACATAACGCACATACATAAGTTGGAAAAATAGCCTACTAAATGTTTATTTTATTATGAAATCTGGGGTTTTTACCGGTAATACAGATTTTTAATTCAGAAGGCTTTTCATAATTATAAATTTGTCATATCATAGAAATTGAAAACATAAATCTAAATAGGTATGCGCAACGTTTTTTCATATAGGAATATTCGTTGTGTCTATTTATAGCATTTCGCATATTGTGTGGTGTATTTTTCTTTTTCGAAGTTATATTTTTCGATGTTCCTTCATGTGGAATTACAAATTAGTACTCAAAAAGTTTTCATTTAACATTTGCTCCTTCTCTATTCATTTACGTTCTCTGGTTTCACACAGGGATTCAAAAGAGTCTCATACCAGTTTATTGTGCTCGAGGGGACGACGAGGAAAGACGAAGGGACCGTGCCACTCGTGTTCGGGTGACACGCTTTGTGTTCTTGTTCGTAACAGCTCGCTGCTACCCTTTTCAGCATTCCTTTTCACTTTCAAATTCTTTGAATGGTTGCAAGAGCGCTCGGTTTCAAATTTTCAAAAAATTCGATCGCAAATTTAAGTTCTGTTATCTATTTTTGTATGTAATATGCAAATACGTATGCATAGAATAATAGAAATATTATGAAAAATTGTAAATAAGGAGAAAATTAAGATATAGATTATGTAGTAAAGAAATTATGAATTTATAATACGGAGTAAAGAAATTATGAGTTTTTAATACTTAAAGATTAGGAAATTCCTATTATAAATTTGGCCTTGAAAATATTAGTTGCGGATATTCAATACATTCTTGTGGATTAGGGAATTCCCGTCTTTAGTATTTCTTTGAAACTATTTAGCGGTTAGGTACTTGTATTATGCATATTGTTCTACCATATTCATGGTAATTCATTGCAAGCAAAATGTGTGACCATCATCTCAACATACAAACGAAATACGCAGCACGCAGTGTTGCGCAGTCGAACCGCACAAATATTTACGAAAATTTTGTGAAAAGGAATGCAGAAAAACTAGACTCGAGTTGCTGGACTCTTTTTGACCGTGTGAATGCCCAGAGCGACACCAAAAGAAAATTTGAAAAACATCTCTCTCTCTTTTGAATCCCAATGTGAAACGGCACTTAGATGTAATTGTAATTGTGAAAAAAATACTGAAAAAATGTAATAAAAAATAACCCTGGTTGGTCCAACACCGGGGTGTTCATAATTCAATCGCTGGTCGGTCCATCACTGGGGTGTTCATAGTTCTTTTGTACCGAACTCCTTTCAGCAGCGGAAAAAATTAAAGAATTTTATTGTATCACAATTTTTTATTTTTAATGCATATTTATTAAAAAAAATTAAGAACAGTTTTTTTTTTAAATTAGGAAAAACTCCGCTCACGGAGTTGTAATATTTGCGTCAAAATAAGACGATTTAAGAAAAAGAATTTCATTTTTGAGGCCTCCTTAGCTGGGGGACCTAAACTATACATTTACCAATTTTGGTTTGTATATTACACTTTTCGACGAGAAATAGTTGATAAATCTGTAATATTTTGATCATTTAGAACGTTGTTGTTTTACAGAATGCCTAGACACAGTTTGAGAAAAAGCGTAAAATTTACTGTTATCGAAATCACTTATCACCTTGATAAGTTCAGGAAAAGGGGCTGTTTCGACGGCGTTGGACCATAGGGAAGGGAGTGTCAACTCTGGATTTACTAATTTACTACCATATGTAAAACGAATTTGCATGAGGATCACTCTGGTTTCCCGCGACAACTTGAGCCTACGGTCTGCACTGGGTAATACTTCCACTTTACGGATACCATTCACTGGGATGAAGTCACTGAAGGTGTTGATAGCGCAACGGTGAATGTACTTGTCTGAAGTTTGTTACGTCTGAAATTAAGTACGTCGATATGGTGCTGTATCACGACGCTCACTTATTATGGGAAAATCATCTTGAGAAAATGACTGCAAGTATGATTTTTGCGAAAGCATCGCAGCAGAAACTACTTAGGGAGGTGTTAGTTGTGCTCCTTAACCGGGATGAAAGTCTCACTGTACAGGGTGTTTATTAGGAGTCATCTATAAACATTCTGTAATTGTCCGGTATTCTGACAAGTTTGAACCATCTTCAACAGTGTGCTGCTGCACCAAGTAGTTTTTGGACGGCCGGCTGAATGTTTTATAAGTGACGATCAACATTTCTTTGTCCTTGTATCGGGTGATGCTAGCTGGTGACTTGAGGATCTTGTTGCGCCTCTGTACCTTGGATGTAACAAAATTTGTTGGGTTATTGGCTGTCGGAATTATAGAATCATTGACAAAATGTTGAGTTTTACCTATATTTCTCCTTTTAGGCTCCTTGCAGTGAATAAGCGAGAAAGTAAGCGAGTAGTGATATGCATTCAATAATCAGCATTTGAGATAATGGAATTTCCTCTAGTGGTTTGGGGGAGTTTCGAAATGTAGAAGTTAAGCAGAAGTGGAAAGAAATCACCGCTCTGCGGAACACCTGTTTAATTCTTCGTAATTTTACATTTTTACCTCGAAATAGTACTGATGACTGACGAACGAGGGTTGTCCTCTCACATAATGGTTTTTGATTGAGGGCTCAAGTTATCTGGTCTTTTATGACCTTAATTGTGGTGGTGCTGTACACTTTACAGAAACCATGTTTGTGATTCGCTTCAACAAAAAATAACGTTGAAACACCGAGGTGTTCAGAGTTCTTTCACGTCGAATTACTTTCGCGTAGAACTAATTTTTTGCGTTGGCGGCCCTCGGCTGCGCTTAAAAATGTAGTATGTTTTTTTCGCGTAGAACTAATTTTTTGCGTTGACGAGCTTAAAAAAATAACCCTGGTCGATCCAACACTGGGGCGTTTAGAGGTATTTCGAGTCTAACTACTTTCTGTATCGTTTTTGTTAACTACGCCTTTACTTTACCTTTTGCAAAGATATTAACCGTCAAAAAGCCTATCAACGATTTTGCAAACATTTTTAAAAAATTTTTATCGTGTATATTTGAATTTTGTCGGTATTTTGATGGGCCGGCATTTTGAACTTCGGCATTTTAAGTGTTTTCCTGCCCAGGTTTCAGTCAGGGACCTCTCTCAAGGAACTTGGACGATTTCGCCTTGTTGATGACACCTTGCAACCTTCGTTGGTGAAAGTAAGTGGCATGTAATCTTTAAGCATTTTGTGCAACTGTCGGGTAACACGTCTACCGTTCCCTCACAGTCGGGATAAACTAACCGGAGCGGACTCAGATCCGGTCAAGGACTTTCAACCCGACACCATTCCTCGAAATGACTTCAGGGATGTTTTCTGCCGCTACAATAACAACAACGTCTTTTAACCCAGTCCGTCGATTTTCCACTTGCGAAGCTCATTGATTTCTCTGATTAACGTGCACTTGTGTGCCTACATGAATCAAATAGTTTGCTAATAGGCGCTAATGGCCGCTAAAGGGTGACAGTAGGTAATAAGCAGGTCTGCATGTGTTACACCTAACCGAGTTGGATTTTGGATGGACCCTTTTGGCGCATAAGCAGCAGAAAAATTCCTCCCGGCTCAGGTTGGACTCAACACTAACACAGGAGGATATAGAGCAGCCCTGCTGACAGGAGATCCTCAAATAAGATCGAAATAACAGTTGTTGTACGAAAAAATCAAGTTCAATTTCGGTAATGTAGAACCGGCTGTTGTGAAAATTATTTAGAATCATATCACGTGGTTATTCTCATCACATATACATACATGTCGGTATGTCCATAGTTCAAGATTTATTTTATGTTTCTAGAGTTTTGGTTCAAAGATAAAAAATTGACATTTCTACCAAAAAATCTATTTTTAATAATAGAAAATGAAAAGTAGAATATACATATATTAATGGAATATACGTGTACATACTATGTGTGGTATCATTCGATTGGTATTGTGTATTACAATTGAATACCGTATAGTTTGGAAATTTCAAAAAAAAAAAGACTTTATAATTAAATAGCTCGTAATCATGGCATTATATTGTTTGTTATATAAATATTTTTGATAACATTATGAAAAAATGATTGTTTAATTGTATCATTTGCGAATATGAAATTATTTGTTATCCGAAGAATTGTATTTTAACTATTTAAACATGTTTTTGAGTGATAAAAATGTGTGAGTGATAACTGAAAACGAATAGATTATAAAAATTATCAAAATTTTTGTTCGAATTTACTAGAAAATTTGGTTGGAGAATAAAATATTGAAGTTTTCATTTTATAATTTTTTTTATTAGTAGCAAAGAAAATAATTAATTTGGTGCAATTGGAAATAAGTGTGTACAAAATGGCAATGCCTAACTTGATTTATGCAATTTTGTTTATTTTTTTGACACGCATTTATGTTTCTTCGAAGTCTGTTAACTTATTCGATTCACAATTTAGACTCAGACATAGAGTCCATAAAAGTTTAAAGTTGGTACCAAGACATTTTGTCTCTGCAGAGCAGAGCCGACTCTATCCATCTTCCTTTACTATATTTTCCTAGAGTCGAGTCTACGTAACCGGGGTGGATCCGGGTTCTGGTCAATAAATGTCAATAAGGATTTTTAATTATTTGTGGAATTTTTTTGTCGGTACAACAACATATTCCAATATTATATGTCGTTATACCTCGAAACTTCTTTTGACCGCAATTCAGCAGATATAGTAATTTCTTGAAACTGATGTTTCTTTTAGAGGAAGCATTAACAAATTAACCGCACATTTAAAAATTTTCCCTTTTTTTATTTAAGCGTACATGTGTATCTACGTATTAGTTTGTATTTGCATATATGTATAATGTATATCTTTTATATATCTATATATATTTAGAGCACAAGTTATGAATTTCTCATATTCACGACACAACATGCACCGATGACTATTTTAATTGTGACATTATGTTGAATTACGTATCGTACAAAGATATCATATATTTGTGTAAAAGGACCAAATATATATTTACAGACATACAAATTGTGTTTTGTGTTTTAAAATTTTTAATCTCGATGTCAAAAACCAGTTACTAAAATATATAATTTCTAAATAGTGGAAAGTAAAATGTGGCAAAGATTGTTTTTTCTTCATATCTTTAAAGCTAGTTTTTAACATTTATTCCGATTAAAAATCTGAAAAATTTTCTTGTAATTCTATGCATAGGCTTAAAAGATTCCCCTTTTGATGTAATACAGCTAGATCAACTATTATATTCCTTTACCATAAGAGTCAAATGATTAGACGATGTACATGACTTGGGTTTATTGACTGTTGACGTTTTACCGTGGTATTGCCATCCACTGTCATCACGTTGACAACATGACTACGTGGCTGGTGATTCGATTGTAAATGGGTATGATGGTGGCTAGTGTCCCCAGGAGTACTGCAGTTACCACTGCTTGGATGAAGTAGTGATGTTGTGGCCTTGACTCGTCTATGTAAAATACGTTTACCCTAATAAAAGCTTAATTAGTATGCTGCAAATAAGATCAGAGTACAAGTGTCTACCTGTCGTGTTTTGTTTGATTTGGATTCTTCTATTAGACTATTTGGCACTTGAAATAACGCCTCTCCACGCGTTATCAGCATATTGGTAAGACGGCAGCACTGTGCAGCCATTTTAACTTGTTCCTCAATACTATTTTTGTCCGTTGGGTGTATGTAACGTGGCGGAAAAAAGGATGGTGCAATTATTGTTGCAACATTGTGCATATTCATTTTATTGTAATCTTTTTGTACAATAATGTTGTTCAGAAAACGTATCAATGTTCGCAATGTGTTTCGATTTTCATGTGGTAGCATCTGAACGACAATAGATAAAGCCTTTGCTTGATCCGCTGGTGGTAAAGCATGGCATTGATAGAAAAGTTGAATTAGTTCATTCGTGAGCAGTGGTTGAGGTAGCTCCCGCAACCATCGCTTGAGTAGGGCACTTAGATCATGCACACTAGTTAAACTTAATAGTTGCAGAAACTTTTTCGGCTTCTGATAAAAAGTCGACTCTAGCTCATGGTAAATTATTTCAGTCTAAATTTAAAATTATTGGAAAAAAAAGTCAAAAGTTGCACATAAAATTCATCATGCTAGAGAAAAATACCTTTTGCTTGTGTCCAGCCACGCGCAGAATACCTTCCTCTTTAGCACCCCGCTTCTTAAGTTCCTCTAGAAGACCTTCTAAAAACAATGGCACCAACGTAGAGTCTCTACCTGTTATTTGCTGATCACGTCGTATAAGAGCATTTAAAGAAACTCCAAAGAGGTTACCCTCTTCTTTTCGACGTCTTTTAAATGGTTTCCGCTTATCAAGCGAAACATGATTTCGATCGAATAATGCAGCTAGTTCTAACCAAAAAACAGCTTGAAGACGTTTTAAATCTGTTTCGTTGATAGTATCTATATCTGTACGAATTTCCATTGAAGCGTCATTACTATCAACAACATCCTAATATAAAAAAAAAAAATAAGAGCATATAAAATTATACACTTTATTTCAATTAAATAGCAATTATTTAGCTCAACCACTTACCACTTCATCCTGACTAGAAGTCTGACGGCACATATTTTCAAAACTAATGCCGTCCCTAGAAGAAGGCGAGTTCTGTACACTTTGTGGGGGGGTGTCCAAATGTATTTTTTGCGGAGAGGTCTCCGAAGAGTATGAGCTCGACAGATGCGCAGTATTAGAGAGACATTCGTCACTCGATTCTCCTGAAGCGTTGTTATCACTGTTTGAATATTGTATAAGTTGACCGTGTACACGACTATAATGAAAAATATTAGATTCCTGATCGGTGAATAAAAAAAAACTTCAAAATGTACAAACCCCACTGAGCAGGATGGATCCGATCCAGAACGATTTCGTGGGATGTGGATGGTGCCGATACGAGAAAATCCTAACAATTCAATGCCCTCTGCAGCAAACATGGGAATATCACAGCGAACGTGTGAACCTCGAAAAATGTCTTGCGAACCTTTAAGTGGAGCACTTGGTGTCCGACGAAGTCGCTGTTTTTGATTTTTGCCTAATTGTAATGTCTGATGGCCATTTCCTGAGTCTGCAACAGATCCGTGATCGAAAATGCTCACAAAGCTTGGTCTGCATGAAAAAAATATAGATGACATTTTATTATTAAATTTATGACAAAAATTTTGTTTTTAATTTATCTACATACGAATGTATGTCTGCTTAATTTTGACATTCAAGTCATGTATTTTTTTGTTCATTTAGATATTACTTACATGGATGCGTTTCCCCAAACTTCGTCTCCGTGGATAGAATCTAAGGAGTCAGGAGTAGCACTACGAGATCGTGTTCCTGTACTGGACTCCTAGAATTTATATTATAAAGTCATTATTAGTTTAGTCAAGAAATATATAATTGTATTATGTATTTTACTTACATCGAAATCCCGAAAGACGTCTCTAATATCAGGTTTGCGTTTCTGACGATTTTTCGTCCGACCTCTTACTGTGTGATTCAGCGCCCGAACGCGTTGTTTGATTGCTTCAGCGTGAGGCATAGAGAGTGAAGCTAATATCGGTTGCAATTCTGAAGTTCGCAACTCGAGACCCTATATATTTCAAATAAAACATTCGTTTCACCAAATAGTCAGCTCAGCAATAACCATATAACTCATATAAATACTTTCAACGACCATCAGAAAATAGTAGGAGACATTATTAAATGATTTTTCTTCAAAGTATTTATCAATTACTCTAAATGTTTGAACGTAAATGTTTCGTGAACAAATTTAATTGAATCAATTGACCATAACCGATATATGGATGGTAGAAACGAAAGTCGATAAAAGATTTCTGAGCAAGTTACGAACAGAGTTGCAAAGATATCTGCGTTAATAAGCTGTGGATATAAAATTATCATTGCCATACATGCAAATTCAACTGATTGACGTAAAATTATTATTAAAAAAAACTTACGATTGTAGCAAATATGTATTTTCACAATATATGCAGATTTGTAAGCATACAACCCTCTTGTTATTAGGGGAATAATAGAATTTCAAAATATCTACATATAAAAATTTTAAAAGCTATAAATTTGTCTATATTTTATATTAATATTGTTTTTTATAACCTGAAGCTAATGTTTTTCTTGTTAGTTTTTACATATTCATTGTAATTGAACATATTTGGCCGAACTCATATTAATGGAATATTTACCTGCTCAAATGGTTTTATGAGCTGTGGAAAACCAGCGGCCACCAGCCATTCAGCTTCCAATTCACCCTCTATAAATATTAATAAATTTATTAATTACTGTTTTAAGTTTTAAAAAATCAAAACTCACCTTCATAATGTGCTTCAGGTTCATTATGTGGCGAATTCGTCTGATACTCATTTAGAAATTCGCTGTAATCTTGATCAGATGTGTTGTCTAAAGACGTGTTGCTACTTGTCATTTTAACATGTTGATTTTTATTTATATTTGGAAAATATGGCATATTGTTGCTTTGATCACTTTAGCGAAGAAATTAGAAGTTTACAAAATTATTGCACAGTGTTAGACCTTTTCCTGTGCTGTTTTATTTCTATTTACAGTACAAGACACGTGCAGTTTACTCCATATTGACAATGCTGTGTTCGATTTGGCTGCTATTTGACGTACATATGTATGTATGAGTAACTGCTGCTAAAAGACAAGAGTAAAATCTTAATTTAATCAATATATTTATGCTGCATGCAGTATATATATAAATATGTATATAACTATGTAGAACATACATACATGTACATTACAACTATATGTACATTTGTATATGCAAGTGCAGTAAGGTGATTCTGATATAATAGCGTTTAAATGATGAGTATTTTTAGTGATGCAAATTAATAGTTATAAACGTATGCGACAGCAACAAAAGTAATACTTTTCCCAATACCTATCGGAAACCAACATATTGCATACATATGTACAAGTATTTATGCACTCAAATAAGCCCATATGCTGTTAACTCAAGCTATTCCACAAAAAAAATCGCTGCGCGGCGCAAAGTGTGTCTATAGGTTACATTTCCGTTTGCATCTAGAAATACATATACATATGTATATGTAAGTGTGTGCACATATATTATATTATATTTATATGTGAATTTCACAACTAGTATAAATCACAAACCCAACTAGTCTGCGGATAAGCGATCGAATTTTCACATTTCGTTATAGTATAGTATACATGTATAGGTAGTCTGGCGATTAAAGTCAAGACTTTGTTTATTTAAATATTGATAACACCTGTACATCCCCGCAGGATAAAGCTTTGAAGAATATAACAATAATTATAAATAGCTCATTACTAAATGTTTTATTATTTGACTTTGAGTTAGTGCTAGTTTGCACTTTTTATGACTAGTTATAATAATAATTTCAAGCCGAAGAACATTAGTTGTAAAATAACATATTTCCATACTGACTTAATTCTTCACTAGGGTCACAAGACTTTTTATTAGTGGGTAACTAATTACAAACATATGTATGTATATTGTACATATGCACATTATGAGCAAATTAACATGAGAATTATATGCATACGCGTGTATGTGGTGGATGCGTAATACGCAATTGCACCATCGTAATGATTAATTAGTGTTCTCCTTCGTTGAGTGTATGTATAAGTAGTTATGTATGGATATTATGTACATACCCTGAAGAAAATTTCGATAGGAAAACTATTTTTCTGTCATTCCTTGTCATAAAGAATTCGCTAATGTTTGTGCGGTTCGCCTACGTGATACTTAGAGCGTATTACATAGTTAATTTATATGCTGGTATGGTGATCTCATATTTTGTTTACAAGCAATTACAATGAAAGTGGTGGAACAATATTTAGAATATCCGTTTTTAATCTTTTCAAAGAAACTCTTATGACAGGAAATCCCTAATCCATCATAATGTATTGAATACACGACGCGAATTTCCTGATATATATATCGGAAATTATAAAAAACCCGTAATTTTTATACTCCAAATTGTTTTCTATTTAGTTCAAAACATTTATAAATTAATTACATTTCGTATTTTAAATAAAATGTAAAATGAAATTCGAGCTAAATCATGCATCTTAATATTTTATGTAAACATAAAAAAGTAAAAGTATCTCCATTTTTATTGTAATTCATTTATAAATATTATTACGTTTAAAACTGTTAAATGTTATTAAAAGTTCAAATTAAATTTTTTTAAGTATCTTAATATTATCCTTATTCACAAATTTTCAAATATTTCTATTATTTTATGCATGTTTGCATATTACATACAAAAAATAGATAACGAAACTCAAGTTTCCAAACATATCGTATAAATTCCTTTGAAACCGAGTGCTATTGCAACCATGAAAAGAATTTCAAAATGATAAGGAACGCTGAATTGCGTAGCAGCGAACTGTTACGAACAAGAACACAAAGTGTGCCACCCGAGCTTCGTCTTTCCTCGTCGCACCCTCGCCCACAAAAAACGGTTTTCGGCGAGAAAAGAGTCCGTGTGTGAACTGGCACTTACTAGTCAAAACCAGCAATATATGTCGTTGGAAAAATTAATCGAACATTGATGAGTTATAACACTAATATTGCAACTATTTCAACAAATTTCGTTGGTTTGGCCATGGACCCCTCATCGCATTCATAAAACTTTTAAAATTGGCCAAGGCAAAGATGTGGTGGCTCAAATAGAAAAAGAAAAAATCGAATAGCTGCAATTTGTTTCGATTTTAATTTTAATGTGCCGCCAATTTCAGTTCATATGCTTCGCTCTATGCAATTGTAATTTTTCAGTGAGTAATCGGATTTAATTTAAAAATCAATTCAAATATGTATTTTTTGGGTAAATAAAACGTTATGAAATTATGTTACATGCTTGCTGTACTTACATACATAGATACATATGTGTGGTCAGATTTGCAATTCATCCGCTTCACTGTTCGCCGTTGTTGAATAATGAATTGCACGTTCGCTCTGCCCCAGCGCAACTAAACACTTGCACAAGAGCATTATGCATATTTCCCTTCTAATAGATGTTTTAAAATGTACGATTGATGAATTCGCCGGGCAACTTTTTCATTTCAAAAACAAAAATTATAAATGGTTTCATACTGTCTACTTAGCGATGTTAATTAAAATCGCGTATGTACATACTTTTCGGTCCTAATTACGTCCCTAATGAAAATTTAGTCTTTCTTACGAAGTGGTCAAATAAGAATTGAAATCCTACATATTCTTCCATTCAGATATATACACATACAGTGTCGGACAAAACTAAAGCACGAAATTTACCATATTAAGTATCAAAAAACTTAACATATTAATTCATTCTACACTTAAATATGAAATAAAGATTAACAATGTACATAAAATAGGTACGACAAAACACGATGTGCTTATAGTTAAAAAATAAAAGAATTTGTTGTTAATATTTGGTATCATATCCAGTGTTTTTTATGACGGCTTCACATATTCGTGGCATAGATTCAATTAAATTGTTTAAAACGTTTTGAGAAATATTTTCCATACTCGTTCGACTTGGGTAAAGAGAGAGTCCTTGTTTTTACAATTTACCCGCTGAATTTTCCGATCTGAATCTTGATCTTGAATGCGCAGGCCATTTCAAAATCTCTATTTTATTGGAAATAAACCAATCCTTTACACATTTGGCCATGCGTTTCGGATCGTTATCGTGTTGGTAGTCCATTTTAACGGCATTTACTCTTCAGCATGAGGAAGCATAAAATTTTTAAGGATGTTTTTGTTCATAAAACGATTCATTATGCCATTAATTTGATGAATCGGACCGACTCCTTGACCTGAGAAACATCCCTAGACCATTACGTTACCTCCTCCATGCTTCACAGTACCTTGTGAATAACGCGGATTCAAACGTTGAGAAGAAGCCCAAAACGTGGTCTTCGTACTAGCTTTAATCCATCAGTTCCTTTAATATTGTAATTGGACTTTTCAGAAAAAAAGTACACACCTCCATTGTCTAATACTCCAGTAAGCGTGAGCTTTTGCAAATTCAAGCCGCGCTTTTCTATTTTTGTGCGAAATGTATGGCTTTTTAGCACTTTTGCATGTTATGAAGTTATTTTCTACAGATCGTTGCTGGATGGACTTCCACGAAATATTTAAGCCCAATTCGGTCTGGATTGATCTAGCTGATATAAATGAAATATTTATGGAGCGCACTATGGCCATATCCTCAGGGCTAGTAGTTTTACGTGGTCTGCCACCTCCATGAATTGTGGTTTGGGAGCCCGAAGAACGAAAACGACTTATAATTCTTGAGACAATGCTGTGATAAATTCTGAACTTTTTCGAAATATTAGTTACTGATTTACCGTTTTCAAAATTGCTAATAATTTTTCCCCTAAATAGTGCTGAACAATTATTATGAGCCATTTCACAAAAAAAAAAAAAAAATTTATTACGAAGCGGTACCATCGGTTGATCACAAATGAGTAATCTAATTGTATTAATATTACTACAACAGGCTCTTCGAATAACGGTTTCTAACTACAGTTGAATTTTTAACGGAACTTGTTGAAATCAAGGTCAATAAATAAGGAAATATAGTTTAGTGCTTTAGTTTTGTCGCAGCAAATATACATACTATTATGCGAAAGTTTTGCAATTCTTTTACATTTATATTTAACTAAATGTATAGAAGGTGAACTTCGCGCTTTAGTTTTGTCCGACACTTATATACATACATGCTTATATGTATATTTCTAAACTCTAACATTTTAAACTTTCTTGCATATTTATATGCATAAGAAAGTAACAGATTTTCGTAAGTCATAATGTTCATTAGGCTAAGATTTTCTAATTAAGAATGTTTTAGAACTAAAAACTTACTGAAACTGACTTATCTAATTACTCTTATGTAATTACTATTGTAAAAAATGCTTTAGAATCTTTTGAATGTAAGCCCTTACATTTTATATCTGTTTTTATCACCTTATTGGCGCCAAAGCCCTCAGAAAAGTCAATAAAATTAAACTTAAACTATCTTAATGCGCCGGAATTTTTCGAATACATGCCGGTCATCAATGCTTACATGAGGAACCATATTTACACACATACATATGCATCAACTTGGGTCTACATTGATATGTAGGAATATGAGTTTTATCTGTTGCCCAGCTACTTTTACTTAACTCGAAATGAAGTATCACACTTTCGAAAGCTATAAAACGACCTCCGGCACAATGAATAATCAAAATATCGCGATGACCGCATAAGTGGAAACGATTTTAGGAGACAATGTGGTCTGTAATATTAAATTTTCAGATTCTTTTACGCATTTCTACTTATAATAGACATGAGTGTTTTTCGTACGGCGAAGACTTGTCTGTATTCTTCCATATATATATAAAAAGTTTTGTTACCTTTGAACTCATGTTTTTAGATACCAGTATGAGAAAGCGAAGAAAAAGGCCATACAATTTTGGAAATTTTCTTCGAACAAGATTTGTAGCCTCTTCGTATTTATACTTATTTTATAACATTAAATTGTAAAATGCTGAACACATAGACGACAAGCGATAGGCAGCATCTGTCAAATATTAAAATACACAGATTCTTATGGACACTGTTATTTAGACAACAGCCCGACTTCACGACTGCAAGTTTGCAGTTGTCG